TTGATCATTAAACCCAGCCCACACACTCACATCCTCAAAGACTGAATATCAATGGAATGGAAGAGATCTCCAGAATCTCCATAAAGTGTAAGCATGGAGGGGATTGTGGGAATGAGGATTTCTTCCACAATCTCTATTCCCTCACACTTGTCATGTTTGCACTCTCTGAGAATGAATTATTCCCCATTATATTGAAAGGTGTGTAATTATTGTTGTTTGGGATTTGGATTTTAAAATAGAAGCCGACGAACGATGGTCAGTTCTGTGCAGGTGATTTTTTTAGGAGGTTATAAAGTCATTTAAAACAGTGAACTCAATGCCAGAGCTCTAAGAAAAGGGAGGAACTGGTTCGTGTTATTTATTTAAGAGCTGACACTGCTGAACTTATAATAAAAAGAGGAAAGCAATAAAGGTTATTAGTTCAGTTTTGAATTCAGAACAGAAGTTAAAGTCCTCAGTTCAGAGGTAAGAGCAGTTTCTAATGGCAAAAGAACAAAGTTTTTTCAGTTCAGTCCATGCAAGCCAGTCACCTGAGCTGAAGTGTTGTAGTTTATGAAGCTTCTAAGCTGGGAGAGTTTGGATCAAACTCTTCAAGTTGTTGGAACTGAAAAGGTTTAGGCAATCAGTTATGAAACATTCATGCCAGTGGATACAGAAAGGAATCTTAAATCTGTCTCAGTATTCTGGGGATAGGAAACTGGAGAGAGTCAGGAAAATAAAAACTGAAATACCATTCCCATGAATTTGGACAGGTCAGTGGTCACTTTAAATATTCTGCTCTTAACCTCTTGAGGATTGTATGGGTCTGGTGCACATTGTACAATGTTCCCCTGCAGCAAGCACTGACCCTTTAGCCCACAGACCAGATGGTGCCAGAAATCGATGAAAAGGAGGGTCCCAACATGGACGTGACTGGAGCCCGGCCTCATGGAGCACCTGAGGAAACCCCGACTCCAGCTGCCAGGGCGGCTCAAGGGCAGCTGGGGGCGGGGAGGGATTTGGACATTGAGAGGGAGAAAATCAGGAGTGACAGTGCCACATCACCTGCCCTCCCATCTGACAGTACTCACCCTTGTGTTCATCTGGACATCACTCCCCTTCTCCCTCCAGCTCAGTTATTGTCTCACTCCTGCCCATGACCCGGGCCTCAGTGCCTTCTCCACGTCCCCTTTCAACTCCCTTGGCTGCTGACACTGACTCCTCCCTGCTGCCACCCCCAGCTGGTGTGTCCAAAGGCACCATCTGTCAGAAGGAAAAATTGACAATGCAGATTCCTCATCACCTGTCACATCCCAGAAGTCCATGTGCTCAGACCTGGTTGAAACATTCAGCTGGTGACCCTGCCCCTTTTGTCACTCCAATACCTGTTTGGTCACCAATCAGTGAAGTATGCCTGATTCCCAGCAGCTGTCTGGCCCTCTGTTCACACTCATTGAGATCCTTCGAAAGAGGGGAATGTAGAACTGAGGGAACAGAGTGAGTGTGGGGGAATCTTCTGGTATTGGGAGCACAGGACATTGAGTTGAATGGAACTGGTTGAACTCCCATGTATGATATACTTGTACAACCATGAGTTGTTCCCTGGGGAACGGCCACACTTGGACATTTCAACTATGGAACTCTGAACACACATTAAATAAACATCACTTTGTGCTTCCTCATTGATTTGGGGATGAGTGTGTTTTTAATTTTTTTTAATTCATTTGTGGGATGTGGGTGTCCCTGGCTGGCCAGCATTTATTACCTGTCCCTAGTTACCCCTTGAGAAGGTGGTGGTGAGCTGCCTTCTTGAACGGCTGCAGTCCTCCTGCTGTGGGTTGACCCACAATGCTATTAGGGAGGGAATTCCAAGATTTTTACCTGGCGACAGTAAAAGAATGGTGGTTTATTTCCAAGTCAGGATGGTGAGTGGCTTGAAAGGGAACTTGAAAGTGATGGTGTTCCCATATATTGGCTGCCCCTGTTCTTCTGGAAATGGTCATGGGTTTGAAGGTTCTGTCTGAGGATCTATGGTGAGTTTCTGCAGTGCATCTCATAGGTAGTACACGCTGCTGCTACTGAGCGTGGGTGGTGGAGGGAGTGGATGCTTGTGGATGTGGTGCCAATCAAGCGGGGGCTGCTTTGTCCTGGATGGTGTCAGGCTTTTTGAGTGTTGTTGGGGCTGCACTCATTCAGGCAAGTGGGGAGTATTCCATCATACTCCTGACATGTGCCTTGTAGATGGTGAACAGGCTTTGGGGAGTTAGGAGGTGAGTTACTCGCCACAGTATTCCCAGCTTCTGACCTGCTCTTGTAGCCACTGTGTTTATGTGGTGAGTCCAGTTGAGTTTCTGGTCAATGATAACCCCCAGGATGTTGATAGTGTGGGATTCAGTGATGGTAACACTGTTGAATGCAAAGGGGCCATGATTAGATTATTGGTGATGATCATAGCCTGGTATTTGTGTGGTATGAATGTTACTTGCCACTTGTCAGCCCAAGCCTGGATATTGTTCAGATTTTGTTGCATATGAACATGGATTGCTTCGATATCTGAGGAGTCACGAATGGTGCTGAACATTATGCAATCATCAGCAAACATCCCTACTTCTGACCTTATGATGGAGGGAAGGTCATTGATGAAGCAGCTGGAGATGGTTGGGCCAAGGACACTACCCTGAGGAACTCCTGCAGAGATGTGGAGCTGAGATGATCGACATTCAAAATGACAACATTCTTCCTATGTGTCAGGTATGACTCCAACCATTGAGTTTGACCCCTGATACCCATTGATTCCAGTTTTACTAGGACTCCTTGACGCCACACTCAGTTGATTGCAGCCTTCATGTCAAGGGCTGTCTCTCTCACCTCACTTCTAGAATTCAACTCTTTTGCTCGTGTTTGGGCCAAGGCTGAAATGAGGTCGGGAGCTGAGTGGCTCTGGCAGAACCCAAACTGGGCATCACTGAGCAGATTATTGCTGAGCAGGTGCTGCTTGATAGCACTGTTGATGAAAACCTTCCATCACTTTACTGATAATTGAGAGCAGACTGATGGGGAAGTAATTGGCCGGGTTGGATTTGCCCTGCTTTTAATGTACAGGACTGACTTGGGCAATCTTCCACATTGTCAGGTAGATACAAGTGTTACAACTGTTCTGGAACAGCTTGGCTAGGGGAGCGGCAAGTTCTGGAGCACAAGTCTTCAGTACAATTGCCAGAATGTTGTCAGGGCCAGTAGCCTTTGCAGTGTCGCCAACCGTTTCTTGATATCACGCGGAGTGAATCGAAATGGCTGAAGACTGGTATCTGTAATGCTGGGGACCACTGGAGGAGGCCGAGTTGGATCATCCATATGGCACTTCAGGCTGAAGATTGCTGCGAAAGTGTCAGCCTTACGTTTTGCACTAATATACTGGGATCTTCCATCATTGAGGATGGGGATATTTGTGGAGTCTTCTCCTCCAGTGAGTTGTTTAATTGTACACCACCATTCACAACTGGATGTGGCAGGACTGCAGAGCTTAGATCTGATCCATTGGTTGTTGGATCACTTAGCTCTATCAATTGCTACTTATGTTGTTTCGTGTGCAAGTAGTCCTGTTTGGTGGCTTCACCAGATTAACACCTCATTTTGAGGTATGCCTGGTGCTGCTCCTGGCATGCCCTCTTGCACTTTCCATTGAACCAGGGTTGATCCCCTGGCTTGATGGTAATGGTTGAGTGGGGGATATGCCAGGCCTTGAAGTTACAGGTTGTGCTGGAGTTTCTAGATCAGTTCGAAGTCTGTCCCATTTGGCACAGTGATAGTACCACACAACACGATGGATGTTATTCTTAAAGTGAAGGCAGGACTTCGTCTCCACAAGGACTGTGCAATGTTCACTCTTACCGATACTGTCATGGACAGATTAATCTGCAACTGGCAGATTGGTCAGGATGAGGTCAAGCATGTTTTCCCTCTTGTTGGTTCCCTCACCACCTCCCGCAGACCCAGTCTAGCAGCTATGTCCTTTCAGACCCGATCTGTAGTACTGATGCCGAGCCACTCGATGGTGGACATTGAAATCCCCCACCCAGAGTACATTTTGTGTACTTGCCTTCCTCAGTGTTTCCTCTTCGTGTTATTCAACGTGGAGGAGTACTGATTCATCAGCTGAGGGAAGACGGTATGTGGTAATCAGCAGGAGGTCTCCTTGCCCATGTTTAACCTGAAGCCATGAGACTTCATGGGGTCCAGAGTCAATGTTGAGGACTCCTAGAGCAACACCCTCCCAACTGTATACCACTGTGCCACCACCTCTGCTGGGTCTGTCCTGCTGGTGAGACAGGACATATCTAGGGATGGTGATAGTGATGCCTGGGGCATTGTGTGTAAGGTATAATTCCATGATTATGATTATATCAGGCTTTTGCTTGACTAGTCCATGTGACAGTTCTCCCAATTTTGGCACTAGCCCCCAGACGTTAGTGAAGAGGACTTTGCGGGGTTGACAGGGCTGTTTCTGCTGTTATCTTTTCCAGTGCCTAGGTCAATGCCAGGTGATCCATCCCGTTCCATTTCTTTGAGACTTTGTAGCAATTGGTACAACTGAATGGCTTGCTTTGCCATTTCAGAGCACAATTGATAGTCAACCTCTGGATGTGGAGTCACATGATGGCCAGTCCAGATGAGGATAGCAGATTTCCTTCCCTGAAGATATTAATGAACCAGATGGGTTTTTCTGACAACCGACAATGATTTCATAGTGATCAGTAGATTCTTAATTCCAGATTTTTCTTAATCATCATCTGCCATGGCAGGATTCAAACCTGGATCCCCAGAACATTAGCTGAGTTTCTTGATTAATTGTCTAGGAATAACACCACTAGGCTATCGGTTGGGGAGTTGAATGGCCTTAACCACCACAGTTCACATTGAATTGGAGCTCAACAACTGCTGATTCCAAGAGCCACAAGCTGCTGAGTGAATGAATTAAAACTTTCTTGTGAAATCATTAATGAAGAATTCAGACAAATCAATAATTAACAATAATTTATTGACAGGCAACCACAATTATGAGCATCTGCTGTTAAACGTTGTTGATAAAAAGTAACAAAGTTTTGCGATTGTACAAACCTTATCGTGAAGAAATAAAATAAAGGTACCTTACATAAGAGTTCAAGTTTGTTCACATCGGTTACTTCATGTGCAAAACAGATCAGTTCAGCTTAAAATAGATTAGAATACAAACAGAATAGTGAGAGATTTTTGTCAACATAAAAAAAGAGAGTTACAAAATTTATACAGATATTTACATAAAACTTGAAACTTTGTTGTATAATGTGCAAAATCAACCAGTTCCCTACAAAATGAGTTGGCTCAGAATATTGCTTCATTTCAGGAAAATGATTGATCCAGTGAAGATGAGAATGTGTGAGGGAGAAACCATCCGTGAAGATCCCTCTGACGGTGACACTGCTCACTTTTCTGAGAAGAGATGGAAGCATGACTGGAGGAGGCCTCAGTTGAATCAGGATTCAAACCTGCCAATCCAGGATCCACTGTTCAATCTGTGCAAACACATTCCCAAGAAAAAAAATTCGATCTCAATCCTGAAAGAACTGGGTGTGAAAAATGAGCTGTAATTCTGTGTGTCTGCTGTGATGTGGAAGGATGGACAATGAAGTCCATGTTTACAGTGGAACAGGAAAATCCTGTTATTCCTCAATGAGGCTGCGGGAATGTCCTGCAGTAGAGCCCAGGAAACCCAGGAATGGATAGACACAATGCAATCACTTCAGGGTGGGGAGGGGAGTGAAATTAGTCTGACAGGTTTTAACAGTGTCTGGGAGGGTGAGGCAGAGTAAGCAGGAATGTGAAAATGTTCCAGATAAGTCTATGGCGAGAAGTTGGCATGTCACTGAATCATGAGCAGACATCAGAAGCTGAGAAAATAAAAACAGAACGTGAGAAATGGTATAAAATGTAGAATTAGACAATGTGAAATATTCTCTATCATTTACTGGACACAGGAGCCAATCATCCTCAGCATTAACTAAGCAGACACTCACAGCAGAGCGCAGAGGGAGTCAAGTGTGAAGGAGGGGAGGGAGATGTAGTGGGGGATGAGGGAATGGCGGGTGAGTATTGGAAGGGGAGGTAGTGGGGAGAAGGAATTGAGGAAGAGGAGGATAAGAGAGTGATGATTCAGGTACTGCATTGTGAGGAGACTGATGAGTATCACCCTAAGTCACACCCAGGAGAACGGTGCTCGACAACTTCAAATCCCTCCTGTACCATTCCCAACACTCCGTCCCCTCAGTAACTTACTGCGAGCTGTTGTGTAGGTCCCACTTGGTGAATCTGCAGAAACAAAATAAATGTCCATTAGAATGGAGACTAATCCATTCTCAGAGAGTGAGAAGTGTGAGGGAATAGATTGTGTAAGAAATCCTCATTCCCACACTCCCCTCCATCCTTACACTTTATGGAGATTCTGGAGATCTCTTCTTTCTATTGATATTCAGTCAGTGAGCATGTGAGCGTGTGGAGTGGGTTTAATGATCAATATTAGACCTGGTCTGGGCCGATCACACAAAGGAAGATCAGAGAGGGAACAAAACATGTCTATAGGTGTGTATCTGTGTGTGGGAATTCAATCAGTTCCATTCAACATAGTATCCTGTACTCCCAGTATTGGAGACAGCCCCACAATCACATTGTCTCCTCAGTTCTACATTAGCCTCTCTGATTCTTACCTCTCCATGGTCTTTTCCAGATGATTATTCCGCATATTACAGCCATTGCAGTGACTAATCCAATCACAATTACAAGATGGGAACAGTCCACACTGTTTTCGGGGATTCCTGAAACACATTTCAACATTATTCAGGATTTTCTAAGCTCTCAGATCCATTCCCAGTTCTGTGTTGATTGGGACGATTAGGACCCATCTATTGGGAATTGATAAAATGAATTGAAACAGTGTTTTAACTCTCCTCTGATTTCAGTCTCCAGTGAAGTCTCTAAAGATCCCAATAATGGGAGTGTAAAAGGTCTGATGCTGGAATCTGGGACAAGAGAAAAACATCTTCAAATGAAAGTGAGGTCAGAAAACAGTTCTTCACAAAAATGGGAGTGGAAATCTGGAACTCTTTCATGAAGATGCTGTGAGCGCTGAGGATCAATTCGAGCCTGAGACCAGAAGGGTTTTGTTGGGGAAGGGCAGCAAGAGACGTGCAGCAATGGAGCGTAAAGGGAGCGAGGTACAGTCAGACAGGACCTCACTGAATGGGGTGGAACAGACTCGAGAGGCTGAAATGTAAACTCCTGAAATGTAAACACACAATCCAGCTCCTTACCCCACTGATAGAGCTTGGCCTCTGACAGGCTGCTGTGTTCAATTTGACAGGAATATTGATCCTCATCCCCAGCACTGATTTCTATCTCTTTCTGGGTCTGATGGGTCCCATCATGGTTCGGTCGAATCCCCGAGGATTGTGTCTCAGACATGACCTCTCCATCCCTTAGCCAGGTCACCTCGATGTCTACAGGATAAAATCCAGTGACCAGGCAGGAGAGAGTGAGCGGCTTATCCTGACGATTGGGTTCACTCCTGGAGATGAACACTTCAGGCTGAACTGTGATAGGAAAGGGTGAAAACACAAACAATAGACAGATACTGAATGGAATGGGAGAACTGTATCATAGATCAGTGAAGTTAGATCAGAACATGGGATCAAAACTGAAATACATACCTTTTCTTTTGAGATATTCATTTCCTGCTTGAAAATATATATTCAAATGATCAACATAAGTTTCTTGGAGGTATGTTTCCCAGTAGTTGTTCCAGGATTTATCAGAATCCCATTTCTCCTTCAGCTTCACTGCAAAGTGATTTGATGCGACCCATCTCATTCTGTCTGGCTCTAAACTAATGAAATCCTTTCCATCAAATCCAAATCTCATCGATCTCTTCATGGAACCGTCATCACTGACCTCAACAGAACGTATCCATTGGACAGTGTGAATTCCTGTCAGTGACCAAACAGGGATCAATTATCAATAATTAATAGATAATCACAAACTGTTTGATCAGAGGGGAAAGAGTATACAGCAATAGATAGAAATGGGGGATTAGAGTCAGTCTGACCAGAGGAGAAAAGAGATAAGGATAAATTTGTGGTGATTATTAGCCTCTTCAACTAAGGGAAATGGACTGAGTGAAGTGACCCAGGGGTCAGTGCTGGGAAATGGACTGAGTGGAGTGACCCAGGGGTCAGTGCAGGGGGATGGACTGAGTGGAGTGATCCAGGGGTCAGTGCAGGGGGATGGACTGAGTGGAGTGATCCAGGGGTCAGTGCTGGGGGATTGACTGAGTGGAGTGACCCAGGGGTCAGTGCTGGGGGATGGACTGAGTGGAGTGAGTCGGGGATAAAGTAGAAGAGTGACAGTGAGGTTTTACAGGTCTGATCTTACCTGATGTCTGGTTTGTCATTTCCATGATTGCTTTCAGATTCTCCTTTAGAAGCCTAGTATGTGTGATTGTCAGATCTGTGTCTTCATCCCAGAATTTCTTATCGAGAGATTCAGCCATGAACTGCTGCCTGGGGAGACTGCGTTGGTTATTACTATCAAAATAAGCTATTTGGACTCCGTTGAGCATTCCAGTAGCAGTGACCTCAGGATAATCCTGTATTCCTGAGATTATTGTGAAAATCGTTGTGCGTGACTTACAGTCTGTGATTCAATCAACGAGAGGAGCTGGTTACCAATCACCAATGAAAATACTGGAAAGGAAACTTGGGGAGGGAGAGAAAATGGTGAGGGGGTGGAAGAGAAATTGGGAAGGAGGAAGACACAGAGAGAGTGAGTGAGAATGAGAGTGGAGTGATTGGATCTAGGAGCAAGATACTGGGGAGGGGGTGAGATTCAGTAGGGCAAGCGTTTGGGAGGAGAGAGATCAGGGGGGGAGAAGAAAGACTGGGGAGGGGTTGTAGAGAGGTGAGGACAGGAACAGATTGTGTGTGGAAAGAGATTTGGGGGAGAGGGACTGGGTGAGGAGAGGAAGAAGGACTGGGGGAGGAGAGGGGCAGGAGTGGTTGAGTGGGGGGGGAATGAAGGGATGGGAGGAAGTGGCAGGAGGGGTAGGAGGGGTGGAGGGGGGAGGAAGAAGGAGAGGGAAGGGGAGGAGGAGGGGGAGGGGTAAGCAGAGGGAGGATGGAAGGAGGGGATGGGGGAAGGAGGGGGAGGAGGGTTGGAAGGAGGGAGAATGAGGTGGGAGGGGGAGAAGGGGAGGAGGGGGGAATGGGGGGGAAGGGATAGGAGGACTGGGGAGGAGGAGGGGACAGGGAGGAGGGGAGGTGGAGGAGAGGGGAGTGGAGAGGGGGGGGGAAGGAGAGGAGGGGGGGGAGAGGGCCTGGGGAGACAGGGACTGGGTGAGAATATGGGGGAAGTGGGAGAGATCTAGGGGAGTGATGATTGGACTGGGGAGGAGGAGAAGCTGAGGTAGTAGTGGAAGAGATGCTGCAGAAGGCTGGTAAAGAGACTGGGGAGGGGGGGTAGGCACTGGGGAATGAGAGACAGAGAGACTCTGGAGGAGAAAGAAGGCCTGAAAGGAGGAAAAGAAACTGGGAAGGGGGAGAGAGTGGGTGGGGGCAAGAGAGATGGGAGGGCAAGAGAATGGGGAGGGGGAGAGGGAATGGGTAGGAGAAGGGAATGTGGGATGGAGGTTTAGATACTGGAGAGGAGTTGGATGAGGACTGGAGAAGGGGTGGAAGAGAGACTGGAGAATGGGGTGGACAAGAGACTGAGGAGTGGGATGGATGAGAGACTGGGGAAGGAGGTGGATGAGAGACTGGGGAAGAGGGTGGATATGAGACTGTGGAAGGGGGTGGCTGTGAGACTGTGGAAGGGGAAGTAGAGTCTGTGGAGGAAGAGGGAGAGAGACTGGGAATGATTTATTCAAAAAGTCTGTTGCTGATTCATAATTCTCCATAGTAATTGACCATTAGTCCAGAAACCAGTCAGCCTCACTTTATACAACCTCTCAGCTCCAGTTTACCTGCATATTGCTGGAACTGACAAACAGGATTCACAAAAGGTGATTCCTTACTTTCAAAATATCCTTACTTTCAAAACATGCAGCCATCATTGTAACTTCTTGATTTAAAATAGTTCTTTCTTTTCAGTTTTAAAAAAACACAAAAATAAACACATTTCAAAATGACGGCCAGCCACATCACACCTCATTTCATTATTGGCCTAAAAGAACATTAACTTGTGTATTTACTGGTTAGAAGATACTAGACCAAATTTGAAGGGGGTTCTGAGGAAGGGTCAGTGGACCTGAAACGTTAACTCTGTTTTCTCTTCCCCAGATGCTGCCAAACCTGCTGAGCTTTTCCAGCAACTTTGTTTTTGTTGCAAATGTGAAGAAGCTTCTCCCAATCGATGTGAAAATTAAAATTTACCATTTGCTACGAGCTTCCCTGATCTCGGGGTTTCTACATCCTGCTGTCAGGAAACCTGGATACAAATCCCATCAGAGTCTCCCAGACTGTGCTGCCTTCAATGTGTAAAATATCAGGCTGGCTGTATAACAGGCGGCTGGTCAAGCATCGCCCATTTCAAACTCTCACCAAGAGCTTCACATTCACCCCAGAGAGATAGAGAGGATGAAAAGCTGAATTCTGTACTTACCGGGAGAGACCCAGGAAAAACACAGGGAAATGGAGAAAACGGTCAGCAACATTCTGGCAGTCAGTCCACTGTCCCTATTCCAATCAGAGACTGGGAATAAAACACCCGAAGGGGAAAACAACTGCTGTTTACGAACAAATCAAAATTTCTTCTCTAAGAGACTGAGAAAGTATTTGAGAGATAGTAGAAACTGCAGATGCTGGAGAATCTGAGATAACAAGGTTGTAGAGCTGGATGAACAAAGCAGGCCAAGCAGCATCAGAGGAGCAGAGAAAGTATTTGACCATTTTCTGAACTTCAAGCTGCAGAACCAGTCAAAGATTGATCGCAGATCGTAAGATACTCCAATTAAAGAGATGAACAGATATCTGTCACCAGTAGCCAGGCAGATCGCAATCACACAGGTTAGGTTACACGCTGTGAAACAGAAACGGTCAGACCTGGACTTGCAGCCGTTGGCAGGAAACAGGGTGCGGGTCTTTGTTTAGGAAAGCCCTCTCCGACGGGGAAGTATCTCGGCTCGGGGTTGAATGGACCCCAAACCCCCGGAGCGGGTTGGCAGGTGGGTGGGGTCTCCCAACAAACTCGACCCGGGGAGGGTGTTCAGGAGGCACCGGCGACCCGCGCAAGTTGAGGAGAATCCCTGAGCCCCCATTAAATCCCAATGGGCTCAGGGAGAATGGCCATGAAGTGGCTCAAGCAGAGTCTGGGGACCTTCTCTCAGAAATGAGGGGGAGGCCTACAACGCCGCCCGCCCGCCGGCTAGTGAACCCCAATCAGTCCCATTCTCATTACAATTAAAGCCATGATTGTGGTCGTCAGCCTTGTCTCCTGCAGGGACATCCTGCACAGCCCTGAATCTAAATAAAGGGAATGATGAGGGTATGAGACGTGAATTGCAAGGGATGGATTGGGGAACCTTACTAAGAGGGTTGACGGTGGATCACCAATAATTCACATTTAAAGGCGTGCACAGGAGTTACAGCAATTATTCACTCCCATCTTGTACGGAAATAATAGAGGAAACGTGGCTCAACGCAAGAAATTCGGGACAGTGTCAGATCCAAATAGGAGACATGTAAAACTGCCAGAAAATGCAGCCAAAACGCGAGTATTTTGGAATTCAACAAAAGAAAACAAAAACTTTGTTCAAGAGGGAAAAAGCAGAGTGTAAGAGTAAAATTGCCAGGAACATGCAAACTGACCATAAAAGCTTCAATAAGTGAGTAAAGAGAAATGGCCAGGGGAATTATAATGGGGAGCAAAGAAATGGCAAAAGAATTTAACACAAACTTGTTTTGCAGGAACAAGATGGGTTATTTCTGCTCTGTTTTGTTAGACAGAACTGAAGTTGGTGTTCAAAATATGTAAGGAAATGGTACTGGCAAAATAAATTTGATAAAGGCTGACAACACCCCAGAGTTTGATAACGTGCATCCCAGAGCACTAAAGAAAGTGGCCCTGGAAATATTGGATGCATTGGTGGTCATCTTCTAAAATTCCATGTGTAATATGGCTCTTTCAGTGGCTAAGAGTTTCCCGGGTGTGTAAGAACATAAGAACTAGGAGCAGGAGTAGGCCGTCCGGCCCTTCGAGACTGCTCTGCCATTCAATAAGATCATGGCTGATCTTTTCGTGGACTCAGATCCACTTACCCGTGATCTCACCGTATCCCTTAATTCCGTTATTGTTCAAAAAAAATCTACCTTATCTTTAAAAACGTTTACTGAAGTAGCGTCAACTACTTCACTGGGCAAGGAATTCCATAGATTAACAACCCTCTGAGTGAAGAAGTTGCTTCTCAATTCAGTCCTAAATCTGCTCCCTCTAATCTTGACGCTATGCCCTCTTGTCCTAGCTTCACCTGCCAGTGGAAACATCCTCTCTACTTCTATCTTATCTATTCCCTTCATAATTTTATATGTTTCCATAAGATCCCCCCTCAATCTTCTGAATTCCAATGAATATAATCCCAATCTACTCAGTCTCTCCTCATAAGCCAACCCCCTCAACTCCGGAATCAACCTAGTGAACCTCCTTTGCACCGCCTCCAGTGCCAGTACATCCTTTCTCAAGTAAGGAGACCAAAACTGCACACAGTACTCCAGGTGTGGCCTCACAAGCACCTTGTACAGCTGCAACATAACCTCTCTGCTTTTAATCTCAATCCCTTTAGCAATGAAGGACAAATTCCATTTGCCTTCCTAATTACTTGTTGTACCTGCAGACCTACCTTCTGTGATTCATGCACAAGGACACCCAGGTCCCTCTGCATAGCAGCATGCTGCAACTTTTTACCATTCAAGTGAAAATCCTTTTTACTATTAATCCTACCAAAATGTATGACTTCACATTTATTTACATTGTATTCCATCTGCCAGACCTTTGCCCACTCACTCAATGTATCTATGTTCCTCTGCAAAGTTTCACAGTCCTCTGCACACTTTGCTCTGCCACTCATCTTAGTGTCATCTGCAAACTTTGACACCCTAAACGTGGTTCCCAACTCCAAATCATCTATATAAATTGTAAATAATTGCGGTCCCAACACCGATCCCTGAGACCACTAGTCACTGACTGCCAGCTAGAATAGCACTCATTTATCCCCACTCTTTGCTTCCTGTTAGTCAACCAATCCTCTATCCATGCTAATACTTTACCCTTAATGCCATGCATCCTTATCTTATGCAGTAAGAAGTCACTTGGAGTGGTTTATCGAAAGTAACTCAGGCAAACCATTCAGAATTGGTAGACAAGCTGTAGTTGAGTTTGCCTGTGCCTGTGAGGAAAGGACAGAGATAATTGCAATGGAACAAAGAGCAAAAGAATTAAAACAGCTTGAATATGAAAAGGAAATGAAATAGTTTGAAATGTAATTAAAAGCAGAAGATAGGGATAAAGTGAGAGATTTTGAACTTCAGAGGTTGGCAAAAAGGTAAGTTAACTTAACGTGGCGGAGGTAAAGGTGAAAGGTGGGATTATTGATAGGACAGTGATGAAGAGCAACCCATCATAGCCAAAGGCCTGGTAAGGAGCTGTTTGAAATTATCCAAGTGTTGCCAAAGTTAGACCTGAAGGCCATAGAAGCCTTTTTCATTTCATTTAAGAAAGTAGCTAAACATGAAATAGCTTGTGACTATGTGGGTATTGTTGATTCAAACAAAGTTGATAGGTAGAGCTAGTGAAGTGTTTGCATCACGAACAGAGGAGGTATCTAGGGAGTACGAGGAGGTGAAAGAAAAACAACTTAAGTGCATATGAACGTGTACTAGAAGCTAACAATTTCAGAATCTAAGAAGAGAACCTGTTCAAAAATACATTAAGTTTGAAAGGATCAAAATAGATAACTTTGCTAGTTGGGTAAGGGCATGAAAATAGATCAGATATATGACACTCTTAGAGAGACTATTTTGGAGGGGTTCAAAAATTCACTTTGTGAAGTAATGAGAACACATGGAAGAACAGAGAGTTAAAACTGCAAAGTTAGCAGCAGAAATGGCAGATGATTGTGAGTTAGTTTTGAAATCAAAGTTTGGCTTCTGATATCAATCTCAACTTGTCAAGGATAGACAGTATGGTAAAGAGAAATTCTCAGATGGGAAGGGAAAAGGAGTTCTCATTGAAGATCATTAAGATAGTTTACCACAAGTTAAAAAAAAAGGAATTCCATGAGGGGGAAAGAAAAGTAAACAACCTCAGGTGTTTTTACAGTAATAAAGTAGGACACACAAAGTCGCAGTGTTGGTGCTTTCTTAAAAAAAAACACTGGGTAGGTGGATCTGATAAAGCAGGATAAACAAGTGGGGTTTGTTAAAGTGGTAAAGGAGATCACAGCTGAAACTAAAGAGCTGCAAAATAATGGACAGCCTAGTAAGTGGTTAGTTGAGAAGTAAGTGCCAGATCTCTTTAAAGAATTTACTTATGTGCATAAAATTTCCTCATGTTTGCTAAGAGGAATAGGAAAAGAAATTAAGATTTTAAGTGGTAAGGGAGCAATCTTTGATGATGGGATATAAGGAGACATGTAATTGGAAGGAGTATTGCCAGAAAAGGTGGTAATATGTAGGATTTGTGATGAATAGTGTTGCATTGTATAAGTTTAGGTTAGATAGTCCTGTGAAAAGTGGTGAAGTGGTTGTAGGAAGTAATAGAGAAATTCTCGGTTCCAGAAATAGTTTATCCTCAGTAATGACATAGTTGGGCAACATGTGAGAGTGATGCCTACTGAAAGGCCAATGGAAAATCAGACAACTGAGTAGTTCCAGGAAGTATATCCTGCGACTTTTCCTGACTGTGTGGCGACAAGATCACAAAGCTGCAGGTTGCTCAGAAGGAGAAATCAAAGAGCAAAGACAAGGAAGTTGAAGTTCAATTATCAGAAAGTATGTCTGATCAAGTGTTAAGAAAAAGCGAGAGCAGTTGGAGAACAAAGTCGATGTTTTCAGTTCAGAGAAGTTGGCTGAGTTACAAAAGAAGGATAGAAAAGTAAAGCAGTTGTATCAAAAAGAAAACACAGAAGATGAATCTGCTTGTTTCCCATTATATCACTAACTGAAAAATGAAGTCTTGATGAAGAAATGGAGACCATCATATATTCAAGTGGATGAAAAATGGACAGAAGTTCAGCAAGTTGTATTACTGGTGGGCTATAAAAAGGAGGTGTTGCAGGTAGCACATGAGTTACCAGCAAGAAATCATTTGGAAATAATGAAAACACAAGCAAAAATAGAAGGACATTTTTATTGGCCTGGATTGCATAAAGATTTGGTTGCATTTTGTCAGACATGTCAGATAATAGGAAAACCTCAGGTGGTGATAAAACCAGCACCCTTAATACCCATGAAATAACAAGGTGTAGAGCTGGATGAACAGAGCAGGCCAAGCAGCATCAGAGGAGCAGGAAAGCTGATATTTCGGGTCTGAACCCTTCTTCAGAAATGGGGGTAGGGAAGGGGATTCCGAAATAAATAGAGAGAGGGGGAGGCGATGATAGAAGATGGATAAAGGAGCAAATAGGTGGAGAGAAGACGGACAGGTCAAGGAGGCAGGGATGGAGCCAGTAAAGGTGAGTGCAGGTAGGGAGTTGGGATGGAGGTTGGTCAGTTGAGGGAAGATGGACAGGTCAAGGAGGTTGGGATGAGGTTAGTAGGTAGGAAGTGGGGGTGGCGGTTGGTCAGTGAGGTGGGAGGAGCGGATAGGTGGGAGAAAAGACAGACAGGTTAAGGAGGCGAGGACGAGCTGGGCTGGTTTTGGGATGAGGCAGGGGGTGGGAGATTTTGAAGCTTGTGAAGTCCACATTGAGACTATTGGGCTGCA